GTTTCTTTCGTAAAGGTTCTTTGGAGGAATCAGTTAGTTGAGGGTGCTACTTGGGAGGTCGAGGCTGATATGATGTCCTGTTATCCTCATCTTTTTCCTTCCGTTCCTACTCTAGCTTGAGGTATTTAGTTCCTCGTGGCTTACTCTTTTGGTGTCATATGTGTTAGATATTCCCATGATTTTCTCATTTATGCATGTTCATGAAAAGCTTAAATTTTGAGAAAAATAGAGTTAACTTGATTGATTTCTTCATGTTTATGTGCCTTTGAGTATGAACTACATATAGACCTCATGAAATGACGTTTTTAACATGCTTAAGCTTGGAGTTAATGTTTCCTCATAAAATATGTGCATTTATGTGATTGCATTCATGTTGGGCTATTAGGTTAAGTTCCTACCCTCCTTACGATGTCTGGAAGCTTATTTGAGGACAAATTTTTCCAATGGGGAGATAATGTAACCCCTCAGATTTGAAAAGATGGAAAAATTTCAAGTTTCCTGGATCTAGTGCCAGTACCAACTAAGCCACCAATGGCCCGTGTTCTGACACACGGTCTGTTGGTAGTCCCGTGGGTGGCTAGCTCAAGTTTCCTATAAATGTCAAAGTTTCAGTACTTTCATACGATTCACCAAAACGGTCTATTGTCCTATGCACGATTCTTAGGTAGATCTCGTAGGTGAGTCCCAGACTTAGAAAAATTTTAGGATTAAAACTTGGAACCCATGGCTGAGGTGTACGGCCCATAGGTGGACCCACGGATCGTACATGGGGTCCCGTCGTTGGGGGTCCAAAGTAGTTGGTCTCTGAACCCACTAACGGTCGACCAGGACGGTCCATGGTGGGACCGTAGGTCAGGCCGTTGGTGAGGGTCGACAGTTATTTTAAAGGAAATTTTTGGTCTTATCCTAATTATTCTAACACAATACTATGTTGTTTTACCTTTTATTAGAGACCCTATATAAATGTTTTTACTCCCAAATTTCCCCAACTGAACTCATTCTTCTAAATTCTAAAAGTTGATCAAAGTTCTTCCCCAAATATTTCCCTCTCTAAAAGCTTGAAGAAGAAGGCTAGGGTTTCAATTCAAGTCTCCAATTTCACCATTGATTGCAAGCTTTTGGCATCAAGGTATGATAGTATTCACCTATGGAGTCCTTTCCTCAATAGGGTTCCTAAATTCTCCAATTTTGCAAAGTAGAATCTCCAATGGAAGTTAGGATTTTTACTCAATCTCATTGGTTCTTGTCAGTTATGATCTAATAGATTATTTTATGTCTTTTTATGAATGAATTGAAGTAATTGCATGTTTCTAAGTTGAATTCCCATGAACCCATGTGAAATCCATGATTTCTAGACTATTATCACATGAAGAAGCTTTTGAGCTATTAAAGATGAATTTATGAAGATATGCATGTTCTTTATGAAAATGATGAAAAATGATTTAAGTTGCTTTGAGAATAACGCATTCATGTTGTTGTTGTTGTGAAAGGATTTCTCACATTCATATGAAAGCATGATTGTGAAAGGGTTTTCTCACATAAAGGATTCTTAGAGTTGAAAGGTTTTCTCAACTAAACTTTGAATCGAGATTTAGGAGTTATTCTAATGTAACCTAGCTTGGATTATCTTGATGTGTCTTCCATGGATTATAAGGCAAGCGGTGATTACCCATGCCTCTTAATGATAAGAAAAGTTAAAAATAATTACTATTCCGTGGGATTTACGCTTAGCGCCAACAAGATATTGAGATGGAAGTTTTCCCGTAGCTTGAGGTCGGGTTTCTAGTAGCAATTTCCCTATCCCATACCTATGTGCCCCCATAGGATGATTGTCTTAGATAGACATTAGATAGTGGATCCATGTAAGGTAGAAGTTCATGGTCTTACCTTGGCAAGTAGGACACCCCTTATTGGTGTGGGGTAGACACCGGATTCCATGTTATAGCTCACATGGTCTCTATGTCGGTTAAAGGTAAATATCCCACAATAATGAACTAAGGTTACTTCTAGAAATATCTCATGAATGTTTTAAAGATGTTAGCTTGCATTGACCATGTTTTATTATTTGTTTTCTAACCCATTTTATCTCATGATTTAGCTTGGTCATTACATGTCACGAAAATTCCTTTTAGCATGATTTCATATCATCTATGTATTGCTATCATACTTGGTACATATTTGTACTAACGCATACTCTTGTCCACATTCTTTCACTAATGTAGGGTCCGACGCTCCTATACCGCCTCCCCGTGGCTAGTGATCACATTAGTAGATTCTAAGATTGGTGAGTCCTCATGTTCTGAGAATCAAACACTTTATTGCTTATTGTCTTTACTTTTCCGTATTATATGTGATGCATGGGTTACATTCCAATCACTCATGATGTACTAGATGGCTTTGACACTACGTTAGACTTTTGCTACTTTTTGTCAACTCTTATGATATGAATTTTCTTTTAAAATCTCTTGATTTTCTATTGTCTTGTATGATGTATGCTAAGTGGCTTGTGTAGGACCTCTCAGGGTCCTATATGCCATGTCACGTCTAGGGTGTACTTTGGGTAGCACAGGGTTTAAAAAGGTCCTAGGAAGTCTCATAAGCCATGTCGAGTAGAGTTTTGTTCATGAGTGTGAAGCGCGCCACATTTATGAATGAGAGGCTATAAGATGTTTAGGAAACTTCACTTCTCTCATTACTCTAAAGTTGTGCGATAGAGTTCAACTCTATAATGTCTCTTTCTCCTAATCCTTATCTGATGATTTACAGGATATGGCCACTAGAAGGGCATATACTAGAAGGAATGCGAGAGAGAATGTGGAACAAAAAGCTCCTCCTCAAGCTCCTCAAGCTCCGATCGACCTTTTGGCCGAGCAAGTGACTAATGCGGAGTTTAAGGCTGCTTTTCAAGTATTGGCGCAAGCTATGACGGCTCAAGCCAATAGGGAGATTGTGGTCCCTGTGAACCTAAATGTGGGTACAGCGGCCTCTCGGGGTCCTATACGTCATGTCACCAATGAAGGTAATATTGTCAAAGTTAATAACATGGGACAGCCCCTATCAATCTCTCAATTATTGTAGTTTCTTCTTAAATCAAAATCCCACCAAACTTTGGATCTTGTGCAAATGTTGCTCTTTTTCTTTTTTACGATGACATACCACTCCCAGTATTGGTCTTTGAGGTGGGGTAATACTCTTTCTATGTATCTTCCCCAAATGTAATTACTACTCCCTCTGTCTCTAATTACGTGTCAACTTTTGAATTGACACACCTATTAAGAAAACAATTATTGATGTAGTGAGTTTATCATTTTACCCCTATTAATTATGAAGTGGATGAATTTAAAACTTAAGATTTTCAAAAAGTTCAATCTTTTTCAAAGTAATTAATTGAGGGTATAATAGGTAAAAAAAAATTGTCATTTCTTAATTTATCAAAATTGACAAGTAATTAGAAACAACTAAAAAAGGAAAAGTGGACAAGTAACTAGGGACATAGGGAGTAATTAATCTCTCGTTTCCAAGTTGATAATGAACTAACTGAAAGAAACAATTCTAACATTGAATAGATGTGTTTTCCTATTCGAGAACCGTGAGGGGAATTATACCTTCCTCCAAAGTCAATTTATTAAAGAGTTGAATCTCCAATGTCATTTCATGACAAGGCTTTAATTTTGTGCTTTCAAATTCCTAACTCCAAAACCTCCCCATTTTTTTATAGATGGTGAGAAGTGAGAACTCCATTAAAAATGTCTAATCACATAGTATAACTGCAAATATTTAAATTTGTTGATTATAAATTTATAAAATAATTCATATTATATTAAATTTAAAATATATTAATTCAAATAAATATTGTGGATTAATATAATTGAATTAATTATTTAAAATTGAATAAATATGAATTCAATTAAACTCAAATTTCATTGATTTGGGCTACAAATGATGAGCCTACTTTACTGTCCAAGATGTCATCCTATCCTAAAGACCAAGTTTTGTTCTACGTGTCAAATGATGTGGCATGACAAGTCAAACGAATAAGTCAATAAGATCATGTCACATGTCAAAGTGACATGACATGCCTAGTTAAAGCAAAGGCCAATACAAACATGTCACATTTGTGCAAATGACATGTTCCGACCAATCAAATATCAACATGCCACTCAAATTTAAATGATCGAAGGAAACATGTCTTCATCACTACTCCTCCGCCACGTCACTTAAATCTGATTGGCCGGAGAAATTTTGTCCTCATCACAAATCCTCTATGCTACAACTATAAATAGTGGTTCTCATAATTCGTAAAAGACACCAAGATTCTAACAAGAAGTTATAGAGAGCTCGTAAGTCAAATGCCACAAATTTCTCTACAAGCTACAAGTTCAAGAATTCAAGCACTCAAGTGCTCAAATTTAAGAAACATCTCAAGATCAAACCCACAAGATTCAGGAAGAAGCTCAAAATCCCTTAAATTCAAGATCAAGTTCATCAAGGTTTAAGATCAAGTTCGAAGAACATTGAATCCAAATACAAGTCAAGAACAAGTTCACCAAATTCAAAGCTCAAGCTCAAATTCCTTGAATTTATATTCAGGAAAACGAATCAGAGGATTAATAGAGATTGTAACGCTCATATATTTGAAATAAAATACTATAATTGTTGTCATATTTACAATCTTGATTATTATTTTCTCAGCGCAAATTTTATCGTCTACAATAACTTTTAAGCCATTAAATACGGCAAAAATTGTGTTAGATGAGCTAGAATCTTAAGGTCATGCATAGCAAAATAATAAATGACAAACTTGTGGAACCATTTTCATCATTTTCACCTTCTAAATACATGGAACTACAATAATTCATAGACAAAGTAAGTTCATCAACTTTTAATGAATCATGATACGACCTTCAAGGCTTCAACCAACTTTTCATGCTTCACTAAGTTGGGACTATGTGCCAGCATGACAAAAGAAAAGTTGAGCCAACGAACAACAGGAATATTCCTCAAAATTTATCTAATAAAAGGCTGTAAAATTTAATTGTTACACAAATTAGACACCAGCACTTATATTATAAACCTCTTGTTAATTTCTCAGTCGGGCCCGAATACTCTGACAGGATCGTGACATAAGAGTAAGAGTACAAGTTGAATTTCTCTTTCTAAATCTGCAAAAACAGGTTGGTGGATGGGTTTCTACATAAAAGCTAGTTGCATTTGCCCCCGTAGAGCATGTCACACAGCTGCAAAGACAAGATGACTTCTATATTTGATTTACAAACACCTATTTTTCTGAGCCAGTTGCAGCATCTTCATCAACATCCCGCCTCTTCTTCTTTCCATCCCCATGTCTTGATCTTCTTGGTGCTTCATCCTCACTTTCGCTTTCCTCATTTTTTTGGCTGTTTCCAGCACCAAACTGGTTATTGTGTTCAGATTTCCCTATTTGCATATGTACTCCATCTGGTCCACCAACTGAACCCATCATTTCCTGACCCTTACCTTGATCTGAGCTAAATCTATCATTCCTGTCACTAACTGGAGCCTGCTGTTCTCTTTTAGCCCTATAAGGATATTGAGAAGGCTGAGATGAGGGTGGAACGAATGATGGATGCATTCCAACTGCTCGGCCAGCTCTGGGTGGGCCTGTCGCTCCTGGACCCATTCCGCCCATGAAAGGGGGCCTTCCAGGACCCATCATCATCCCAAATCCACCAGCTGGAGGGTGGCCATGAAACATCAAATCACTTGAAAATGGTGGGCCATATGGACCAAAAGGTCGGGGACCCATTCCAAAATGATCAGGCATTGGGAAACCCTCAGGTGTCATAGCTCCATAAGAAAACCCATCACCCATCATGCCTGGAGGGAAGCCTCGCATCCCAGGAGGAGGCCTGGGCCCATGTCCAAAAGGCATAATTGGAGGCCATGCAATTCCCCTGCCCCTTCCTCTACCAAGCGCAGCTGGTCCAAAACCTTGATCAAAGCTTTCATCCTCGTCCTCACTTTCTTCCTCTTCCTCTTCTTCTTCTTCGTTGTCTTCAAATGGTACAATATCTGGGTTATCTTTCCCATTGTCAGGGTTCACTCCCTTTGCCTTTTCTTCCTGTCGCTTGGATTCTGCTGCAAGTGAGATTGCCTGAAATGCAGTTATTATCCCATTAGAATACAGTCTACTTGAGCCCAGCTGCAATAGGATATAGTTTGTAGAGTTACTATAACTACCATGCCCTTTTCTCGTTGTGGATAATTCAAGCATCAGATGCTTAATGACAAACAGCACATTACAAGGGTAGGGAAGGATTGCAGCAAAATTTTGAGTTTGAGGACTCAGACACGTTGGACTGAACTTGAGACATGTAATTGGAAAGAACTGAGTCATTATCAAACCAATAAAAATAAGAATAGACAACTCACCACCGCTACAAATCAAAGAACAGAAACTGTGTTAAAACATGTCCAAACTGCACTATGTCATGATCTAAATAAAATTTAACCCGGTAGCAATGGAGCTTTGTGGAAAATTTGGCGGAGAAAAGAAGAAACAAGTGTATCAGATATGCTATCCTATACGATGACCAATGGAATCTTGGACAACCCATGTGAGGATGGTGAGTGCCTTAGTAGTGAGACAAAAAACCAAACAAATTCCAGTATAAGTTCAGGTCCGAACAGGCTGAGTATGTAGGAGGTATCATCGACACAATCAATGATCAGCAATCAACCTTGTCAGTCAATAAACTGCAATCATCATGGTGTTACCATTGTTGGTGCATACACCAAAGCAAATCAACTGCAGTACCAGAACAGGTCTCTATGTGGTTTAAATGAATGTGATAAAGCTGGGCAGGAATTGGGGATAAGAATTGATGGATTTGACAAGCAGGTGAAACCACACCTTATAAATTGAGAGGAATTAATCCTTCAAGGACTAAATACTCTCATTTATTATCCAAATGAATAATGCTAAAAAACTCAAGACATTAAAACTAGAAACTATCTAATCAAACCATTCATGATTTCACCGATCACCTACATGAGACAATCTAAGAATTTTTAACTAGATGAACAGATAGCCAGTTAGGATTGACAACACACCAGAGGATTAATTTTCAATCCCAATTCCCCATTAGAAATATTTGCACAACACCTATCACTGAGAAATTTCAAAATACTTGTATTTAACTATCACAAGGCTCAATATTGTCAATCAGCATTGACTAATTCAATGCACAAAATATGGGATAAAAAATTCTTACAACCAAAACCAGAAACTTTTCTAATAGCTTCAACCAAAAGCAGAAATTATACCATGCTCCTGCAGAAATAGTGCTTTCACAGAGATAGCCACGAAAGCAGTAACAAGTGTTCCATTGTATATATCAGCAGCGGTTTTATGCATATTGTCAATATTGATATCTAATGCAATCTTTACTTGCAAAAAGCACCGTCATAATTATACTAGTCATTTGTTCTAGCACATATTATACCGAGACAAGTAACAGACGGAAGCACTCCGAAAGCTTCAGGAATGGAAACATTACCATCTAGAGAATGAAAACTTTATTGAGGACAACATTCAATTTTAGTAAAAGAAGTACCATAAGTTCGCTATCTGGTTCAAGATATAGCAAAGAAGCCAACTGCCCACCAACAGAGGGCTCTAATTCTTGACAATCTCTGCTTATCTGCAACAGTAGCAAAATACAACATTAAAACGGTGACTGGAAGTAACAACAGCATGTAGACCAATTTAGAATCCAAACAAAACAAACTAGACCAACTAAGTAGCTCCTATTTCAGATACTATATGCATCAATCACCAATTAAATATCTTAGTAAAAGGAAGATCTTAAATGCACCCTGCAGTTCAAGAGAATCTGAAACACATTGCACAAGATGTCAAGAATAGGACCTTTGGCGATTGATCCTTACTGGAAGGCAGTCTAATATTTGAAAAAATATATTTATCATAGATTTCTGTCCTTCGTGATTCACCACATTCATCAAAAATCATTAGCACAGGCAATGTTGAGTGAAGCACAATCCTCAGCATGCAACAAAAGGGAAGTTTGTGGTACGCTTTCATCAGTACTGATTCACCAACAGTGTTATCAAAGGTGAAAAGAGCAAAAAAATTCTAAAGTCCGTAGGGGCTATAAACACAAATCGCAAATAAAGTGTAGGCTTTAATGAAGAGAGGCGCAAATGGAGAAAAAAAATACAAATCTGCATGTTCGTCCCAGACTAATAATTCTAAGCATGAATAACAAATATATGGGCAAAGAAATTGAAAAATAACTACGATAAAACGAAATATCAATTATTTAGTGTTGCCTCTTCAGAATTACTCTTTCGAAAGAAAAGAATGTCTTAGAACCTTGATGGCGACACTGAAGCGCCTGCTAAGTGAAGCGCTCAACATGTTTTGTGCCTCGTAAGCCTTTGACAACACTGATAGCCAACAAACTAAGAATATTTTAGTGACAAAAAAGAAGAAACCTTCAACATTTAAACCATTTAGCTTGCCAGCCAAAATGCCTCAACTGTTAGTCAAACCTTAATCCAAACTGATTGCAAGTTGAGGAGGATATCACATTTTAGTAAAGAATTTATTGAACAGAAGCGGAGTATATTTTCATGAATTACGGCTTGTTATCTTCAAAGGCTCAAAAGAAGACTGTGATTAAGGTCACACTAAGATATGTTATCTCACTTGTGACCATTGTTCACTTTTTGGGTAATGTTGGAAATGCACTTTAGCAGTAACTTGAACCAAAATCCTTGCCTTAAAAGTAAAAACCTAGCTACCTTGGCAATGTGAGCACTGCAGAATATGCTGTTATATATATAGTTCAGCAAGAATCCTGACTGCTTAAATAACCAAGTTTTTTGGTGCTTTCTTTAAGCTTGCCTTTACCGAACATCATAATTAGATGTGAAATTCGAAGGAACTGGTCTTTTGATTGTCAAGTCAAGACAATCTGGCTAAGTTAACTCCCTCTCTCTAAAAGAATTCTTTTCTTTATATTTCAGTTTTCCAAAACAAAATATTCAATTTTTCCAACTAAAGAGTATCAGCTTTGGGGGAGAGAGAAAATAATCTCTTTTATCCAGATGACCCGAACTCAAGATACTCAAATCTTTACTGTGGACGAAAGATTTTTGGTTCTTACCAGAAGCAGTCAAAGTTCCGGTGGAACTAGATGGTCTTACTGAAATGCAAAAACCAAGGTTGTTTCCAAAAAGAAAGATGTATGGGGATAGAGTGGATGGGAAATGCAACTAGCCAATGGTCTGCCAGACGAGTCAGGATCTTAGGGATGTTTATTATAGCATCCATGTGAAAAGACAATCGAGGAATTACAGCAATCTTCAATACAAACACAAATTCTTGCCTGTTAGTATGTTCAGTCTAAATCAATCATTGGACATGACATTCTCAGAGCAGTTAAAGTGAAAATTAAACTAGTTGAAATTGATCAAAAGGATCAAGGGATAAAGGCTCAGATTTATACCTTCACTGGTAAGTTCTCATTGTATGGATTCCTCAAATGGTGAGTTTTCTGGAAGGACAGTTCACAGAGCTGCATTTTAAACCTTGGAGTTAGTTCAGATGTGCAAGCAATTATGCAACAATTACATAAAAAGGAGGTAAAGAGAAGAGAGACGCAAAAAACAAAAAGAAAGAAAACCCCAGACACTAAGTTATATCAACTACCTGTTAGGAAAATGATCATAGTCCTAAAGAGAAATTGGAAAGGTCATAAAAGGAATAGGATTTCTTTCGTATGACGCTTTTGGTCAAGAGAGAATTGAACTTTCATCTGGTTAGGTTCGAATACCCACACATCTCCATTTTGGAATCCAAAATTATAGACCAGGTGGATAATGGCAGAGCATACGGCAGATTTGGTAAGCTGTTGAATTAGAAGAGGAGGAAGGGTGGAAGATAATACCATGTATATGGTGGGCAGTTTGGAAGGAAAGAAACCATAGATGTCATGAGGATATTACTAAAGAAACAATAGATGTCATGAGGATATAACTATTCCTTTTCAGGCATCCAAAGAAAACTGTATAAATACATTATACTTTTGGTGTAAAGAAACACGTGTAGTAGTAGCTGATCAGCTGGTAGATTTTATAGGTGCTTTGTAAGTATTTAGTCTTTTTTCTTCTTCTGTTTTTACCCTTCCTTGTGTAATTTCTGGGAACATTTTTTGGCGGTTGCCAGCATAGCCTTAATGCTAAGGAATACAACATTACCTTTGTCGAAAAAAGTTACAGAAAAGGGTCAAAAACACCTTTGAGCTAAAGGAAAAGGTCTAAAAATACCCTTCATCTACCTTTTTGGCTCACTTAAATCTTTAAAACTAACAACCCTCTCTTTATTTTGTTTTTAGACAATATATTTATTATGTGTCATTTTCTTATTCAATGAAATAAAAATCTCATCTCTACTAGATTTTTTTTCCATAATTTATCCAAACCAAAACAAACACCTCTTCAAGACCCCAATTTTTTTTAAAAAAAATCTAGTAACTATTTGTATTTGCTGTAGCTTTAAAAAAAATTATTTTAGAGTCGTGAAGAAGGATATTGTTTTGACTTGGATAACTTATGTGAAGAATAAAAAAGATTAAAGAAAATAAGTAGTTTTTTTGAATTAGAAAAACTCGTCTAAAATTTTAAATATTAAAAAAATCAATTCAGCATCGTTGATAGAGTGACAGGAATAGGATTACACTTAAATATTTGTAAAGGAACAAAGATATTAAGATAAGGCAAAATGGTCTGATAGACCCTTGTACTTGTATAAGTTTGTATTCTGAACACTTTTACTCTATACTTTATCACCTGGACCTTAAACTTTTTAAAACACAATATTTGAAACCCCTCAGACCATTGACCAAATCTATGTGGCATAAATATTGTTGAGTTGGAAAAATGTGTGAATAGACTTGCTTCCAAGCGCGTAACTACACTATATTTTATTTAAAAATATTTTTTTTATTAAAAAAACTTATTTCTTCATTAACCCTCTCCCACCCCACCCCTGCCCCAATTTCTCTTCATCTCCAACACTCTTCCCACCCCTAACCCTAAACTTTCTTCTCTTCTTCTTCAACAAAATCACCCACCACACCCATTCTTTTTTTTTCTTCGAAATCACCCGCCATACACCTTTTTTCTTCTTCAACTCACTTTCCTCTTTGCAACAAATCAAAACCCCGCCATTGATTTCTTTTTTCAACCCCCATTTTTATAAATTCTTAGTGTTTTTTATTTTAAAAGTTGAAACTATTGTTTGTGTTAGTTAGATTCAAAGAGAAGGTATGATATGCATTAACGTAAAGGGTGATGGTGGGTATTGAAAGCTCCATTGATAAGCTTGAGAAAGCTTGAAGAACAACAAATGGGTCTTATGAATTTATAAAATTAATTCAAATTTGTGATTGGGGCTCGTTGGATTTGTGTTAGTGAACTTGTAGTTGAAATTTCAAGTCCAATAAAGAAAAATTTCATCTATTTGGCATGAATTTGGTGCTCAAATTATGAGCATATATGAAGATGGAAGAACATGACTATTTAAAAAAATTCAGAATTTAAAAAAGTTAAATATTTGATTTTTTTATTTTCTTAATATTTAATTTCTTAGGTGTCATTGAAAAATGACATGTAATTACATGTGTAAGAGGTTGGATTACACACACAGATCTGATGAGAAAAGGGTTTAAAATATAGTGATTTAACGAGTTTAAGGGTTTAGTTGACAGTGTTGAGTAGAAGGGTTCGGAATACAAACGCATACAAGTATAAGCGTCCATCAGACCATTTCTTATGTTCTTCAATATTTATTTAAAATAACTGTACAGCAGCAAGGTTTAATAATGAAAAACAAATCTAGTAAAGATGGGAGGTGTTATCTAATCCAATAAGAAAATGACACATAATAAATACTTTTTAAGAAAACAAAATAAAGAGAAGGTTGTTAGTTTCAAGGGTATAAGTGGGCCAAAAAGGTGAATGAAAGGGTATTTTTAGACCAAAAAGGTGGATGGAGGGTATTTTTAGACCTTTCCCTATAGTTCAAGGGTATTTTTGACCATTTTCCCAAAAAGTTAAAAAAACCTCGCCGGCCATCATAACTGGTCGTAAATTCAACATGCCCTTACTATTACCAATTTAAGTTCCCACATAAATATAAAAACATTGAAAAGACAACTAATACTCCATTATCTTCTACACCATAAATGATGATTCTTTTTGGGTTTGCTGATAATTTCATCTCACTTTTTCCCACTTCCTTGGAGAAAAGAATACTAATATCCCGAAAAGAAATGGAAAAACAATTTCAAGCCACACTGTGTTTGCCCCCAAGCCCCTGATAAAAATTAGTAAGGCTACACACACAAATAAACATCAAGGCCATCCAACTGGAAAAGGTGCATAAGCAACACAGGAACCAAGATTACAGGGAGGGGAAAAAGAAAATATAAATGACCTTCAACCATTTCACTGAAAAATTACGTCCATAATGGGCAGTTCCATGTTCATGCTTCCAGTTTCCTCCATTAGCAGCGCCACCAATTCTAGATGTCATCTTTCCACAACCCTAACAAATAGTAAACAAATCTCACATCATGAAAATGCATCCACCAAAGAAAGCTTTGTTTTACAACCATCAACTAGCCTTAACTCACACATTACTTCCATGACAAGTCAAAATCGAATTATACACACTTACAATAATGATATACTAGTAATACTAAACACTCCTCAGCTATTAAGTAACAGACAAACTTTACATCTGTAACACATGAGGGATAGAGATAATAACAGCCTACCTGAAAATGTCTGGTCCGGTTGACTGAAAATATCAGAATGACATTTTCCACAGAGTCAAAAGCTTCATTTAGTTTAGCCTCATTGCTTCTTTGAGTTGCCCAAACTCCTTGTTGTACTGACAATTCAAGATTCTCACGGTTGCAGCTTTTAACTATAAAGTACCTAATTCCATGCAAGAAATTGGATAAGTGTCCTAGCAAAAACAGAGATATGGACTGCAACTGTCCTTTCTTATTCAGTAGCACAATAAAGGGGGACATGGATAGAGAAGAGGGACATTAGTACTACATGAACAAAGATCAATGAATTAAAAAATGGAAGTCATTGCTGTGCCAGGTGTCAAAATAAGAAGTTCAAAAATTGAAGGAAATTAATCACCTCACTGGTAACAAATGAAAGATATTGCAAGTAAAACAACACCGCACAGAATGAATCACCACCTTGTGTCACTTAATAACATACAATGTTCGAAGACAGAATACCAGTTCTAACCAGCAAATCTGTAGTGTTTAGTCCTGGATAGTTTTCATCCATAAAGCTTACTCATTCATTTGTAGACAAACTTGCAAGCAAATATGTAACAGACTGCTATGAGAGAATAATGAAATTGCATCTACTGCAAACTACTCCTTGTGAAACTAGTCAATTAAACAATCATCATGGCCCTTTCTTTTTCTTGGCATAGCTCCTTCATCACAACAAGATAGGCGTGCTAGTAGCGATTATGTATGATATCTGGTCGAACGGATTTATATACTTTTGGCTTCAGTTATACTCGTAGAGCCAAGAAGTTTTAGTTCCATGAAGAAGTGAACTCCTAGATTGCCATATAAACCGATAAAACAATCACAAAAGAATCCTTAAATTACGATGGCAAAATCCCAGTATACAAACAGCAGCAAAAAGAGAATCTACAACGTCATATGATTCTCTATCGTTACTAAAGCTATATCATATTCCTCCCTTCAACAGGGCCTACATGAGTACTAATAGAGCAACATCCCATGCTCTTCACTTCTCTTTTTTCTTCAACATGTCCAACTGAAGAGAGCCTCCTTCAGTGTGCTCGGCATCAACATTGCAGTTCGAACCATCTCACCATCTCACCATCTCACAACACAAGTGAGTTGCCACCTGAAAAAATAAGAGGTAGTCCACATCTTCACCTGAACATTTGCACATAAATTACCGGTTGACATGTAATCTGCCTTTTGGTCAAATTTCCAGCTTTCAGGATTACTCCTTCCATCGTTGAGTAAAAAAGCACATGTTTTGGTTCTATAGGGATCCAAACCGTAAGTGTCAAAAATTTGCCTCCTCCCTTACCAAGGGTTATGATAATATGATTATACTGAAAACAATTCACCTTTCCACCCCACCACCATGAGTCCTGACTAGTGTCTGAAGTATTTTGCTTTTACAGCATTTCAACCAAGCTTGCAATTCAGAAACTTCACATCCTGAAGATTCTATCTAAACCCTATGTTCCAATGAACCCCTCTATTGTAATCTCCAGAATTCTCATACTGTCATTTCCCTCTGACTAGATTCTCGAGATACTATATATGTTTATGAATGTGTGTCTCAACGTCTCTTTCACCCTACTTATAATGCCCAAAGCTAATTATACTCCATCCCGAAGGTTTTGTTACCAATGAAATCTTCTCATCCTTTCATAATATCCCTCTAAAGTCTACATGTGATATAATAATTCCTCCATTTTGCTTCAACAAATCCATATTTATCCATCAACACCCCCCTCCATAGAGTGTGCTCGTCAATATCAAATCCCTAAAGCCATTTTCTTAATAGGGTTTTGATAAAATTCTAAGATCTTTCACCCCAACAGCCCCCTCCCCTGTTTCTTTGGAGATGTTGCTTACTCTCAACTGACTAAGAGGGTGTTTGGATTGACTTATTTTTAGGTGCTTTTGACTTTTAAGCACTTTTTAATTCTTAGAGGTGTTCGGCAAAGACACACTTTACTTTAGGCATAAAAAGAACAAATAAAAAAAGCAAAAGCTTATCCAAACACCCCCTAAGTGAAGCATTATACCCTCAATTCTAAAATATTACAATCATTCTTTTTTTTTTTGATAAGTCTAATAATAATTCCTTCATTAGATCAAGAAAATGTTAGACATTCAAGTATCCCAATGCATATAACCTTGTCAGATGTATTCTCATACCTGTGTCCAAAATTCTATTCACATCCCATATCACAAAAGTAAACACCTTGACAAACCCAACATGCACCTATGTCCAAGTAAACATAAAACTGCTTAACAAGGATCAATATTTATGAATAACTAGCAACATATATGCAGTTCATCATCCAAGGAGTCACAAACCAAGTAACATAACCAAATAATACAAACTAAAACATAACATTGAACTTGAAATCCAGTGAAAGGATCAATTGACTGATAAAGTTTCTCATGAAAAAAAATGTTCATATATGCAACAATCAAGAAGAAACAAATGTTCCTATATGCAGTTCGAAATACAGATTTTCTTTTATTTTCAAACAGATTACTCAGCAATTTCCCATTATAGGCCCTGAACATTACTTCCCAAATCAACAAGAAGATCACTATCATCAAAGTTGCTACAATATCAGGAAACAAAGTTAACACATTAAAGCCTATATTCAAGCTATAGCATATTCAAATTCGCAACATGATCTTTAACAAGAAGTTCAACATCAATAAAAGATATCTCACTAACAACCACACAACTAACACTTTCACTACATGAAGATGATTCTGCCACCAGAGTATTACTACAACAACAACAACAACAACAAGAGTATTACTTCCAATAAGCAAATTACTTATAGCATAACTTGAAAGGTAACCCATATCTTAGAATACAACAACAACAACATACCCAGTGTACTCTCACTAAGTGGGGTTTGGGGAGGGTAGAGTGTACGCAAACCTTACCACTTCCTCGGGGAGGTAGAGACACTGTTTCCGAAATACCTCGGCTCAAGTGCATCAAACTCACGTAAAAGAAGAAGAAAACAATGAAAAACATAGTTGATAATAAGGAAAGTAGTGTAAAATCTACAAGAAGGAAACAATAACAGCAGCAAAATAGTGTGATAATTGAAATACAATACACAACATATGGCAAGAACTACAAGGGTATGACTAGTACTACGATAGACATTAACGAGCCTAAACCTATACACGACAAGACAACACTCAACTCTACTAGCCTTCTACCTTAATACGTGACCTCTACTCCTTCCTATCTAGAGACATGTCCAGGGTAATATGAAAGTTGTGTCATGTCCTGTCTAATCACCTCTCTCCAATACTTTTTCGGCCTACCTCTACCCCTCTAGGTACCCCTTAAAACCAGCCTCTCGCATCTCCTCATTGGGGCGTTAGTGCACCTCCTTTGCACATGCCCAAACTATCTCAATCTCGCTTCCCTCATTTTGTCCGCCATAAAGGCCACTCCTACCTTCTCCCGAATAACCACATTCATAATCTTGTTGCTCCTACTATAACATCCATCTCACCATGCATCTTCTGAACATGAGATTTTTGTAACTGTGTATAATATAGTTTTTATGATGGAGCTTTAAATGCACTAAAGAGGGTAAACCTATTTGGAAAACTATTTCTCTCTACAATATAGTTTATATCATGGAGTTGTAGAGAGAGACTATTGGAGAACTATTTCTCTAACCGCTAATCCACCAAGGAAAGAAATTTTATCAGATTATCAGAAACACAAAAGAATTAGACAAAAGTTAAATATTTCCCAACTTGCACCAGAAACATAGCAAACATATTTGAGACTAAATACATACTCTAGTACATTTGTCACACTGAAATTAGAAAAGACCATCCATCTATTATTAGTAAAACGAAATCCCTTTTTTATAAGGTAAATAATTTTATCAACAAATGAGGCAAAAAAAACGTGGCCAACCCGTTACCATAGGATGAGAAACCTACAACAAAATGTGGTTCTCAACTAGAGATCCGATTCTCTATGCAAAAAGGGACCTCGTAAGTACACCAAAAAAGGTTAGAGACAAAACACTACTCTGCGACTTTACAAAATCTTTCCAACCCTTCAAATGTCCTCCTACTTCTCTCTTTCCAAATGACCCACATGATTGCTAAAGGGGCAACACTACATGCCCTTCGGCTTCCCTTTCCCCTCTTAAGAGTCTAATTTTGAAAAGCCTCCTTCACTGTGCCCGACATCACCCATTGCATCCTAAGAAAATTGAGGATCACCCTCCATAACCGATTAGCCACCTTGCAGTGCAATAAGAGATGTCTACATTTCACTTGCACTACACATAAAGCACCAACTAACATAGGTGATCCTCTTCTTCCTCATATTTTCCATTGTTAAGATTGCACCCCTTGCCGCAAACCATATAAAAAACATGCCTTCCTCAGAGCTCTAGGGATCCAAAGAGAGTCATTGGGGAAAGTACCTTCCTCTCTCACTAGTAACCTTTTATAGTAAGAGCTAAAAATGAATAACCATTCTCCACTCTCTCTCCAGCTCTATACATCTGATAAATTGTTAGGAGTGGCTAGCCCATAAAAACTCAATCAGATTGTGAAATTCTTTCAATCTGCCAATCTCCCAATCTCCCAATCCTGCATATGCATTATGAATCTCAAGTCCCAGTGAATAACCCCCTCGTGAGACCCATGAATTTGTTGAATTGTCATCTCTCTTCTCTTTGGTAGAAGACATACTACATATTAGGGAAGACTTCCCTCATCACATTACCTTAAAAGAAATATGTCTGCAAATCTTTTTTTTTTTTTAGATAAGGGTAACTTTGTATTCACAAAAAATTCATCATCCAAGGGGTGATGATTGGAAACTTACATCCCACAGGGTGGTGGACACACCCTCAAAAAGCCATACAGAATTACAAGTTTCCTTTAAAATCAACCATCTCTATGCTTTCCCCTACCAACTCTTGCTTACACCAAAAAAATAAAAGACTTAAGCATTTCATTTCTATCTTCTGAAATTTATCATTTTTTCCTTCAAAACACCTAGCATTCCTTTCTTTCCATAGAGTCCACCATATACAGGCTGGAATAGTCTTCCACCAATCTTCACTTTTCCCTCTGTTGCCAATTCTTGTCCAGCTATTAAGGAGCTCCATGGTTGTCTTTGGCATCACCCAGTTAACCCCTAGTATACCCAAAAACATATTCCACAATTTTGAAGCTGCTTTACAGTGAATGAACAAATGATTATTTACTTTTGCTTTCTGCTCACACATAAAGCATCTTGAGCAAAAACTGCATCCCCCTTTTTTGTAATGCCTCATGTGTAAGGCAAGCTTTTCTTATGACCAACTAGACAAAACATGCTACTTTTAATGGGCTTCTTGTCTTCCACACTAGCTTCCAAGGCCATTTTTTAGTCACTGACTGATTGACATTTATCCTCCAGTAGCAGGATTTGACTGTGAACATTCCTTTGCTATGTAACTTCCAAATTGGTTCATCCTTTCTTTGAGATATGGCTGGAGGGGTGTTTAGCACCTCTAGTAGCCTGGCCACATCCTCAATTTCCCAGTCATTCAAAGCCCTCCTGAACACTAAGTTCCACCCTTGTTGGCTCCATACTTGAGCAACAGTAGCAGATCTTTGTAAGCTCAAGGTGTAGAGGTTTGGGAATAAGTTCCTCAGGCTATCATCCCCTTTCCAGATTTCATTCCAGAAGTTTGTTTTCAGACCATTGCCCACACTAATATAAATATTGTTATTGAACTGTGGCCACAACCTTCTGATGGTGTTCCACACACAGCATCCAAACGACCCCATCACCTCCTCAGTAGTCCATTGGCTAAACAAGCCATATTTCCCTGCTATAAATCTTCTCCATAGGGCTCCATCTTCAGTACAAAATCTCCATAGCCATTTTTGTAGCAAGGAATTATTCTGGATGCTAAGATTTCTCATACCAAGGCCACCTTGTTTTCTACTCAAAGTGAGTGTCTCCCATTTCCACCCCTTCCTAATACTCCTCCACAAACCACACCCATACGGAGTTATATTGTTCCTACTCCTCCATCTCCCTGCCATAGTACCATACTTTTCCCTACCACCCCCCTCCAAAAAGCATTTTCCTCTACCCCCAAATCTTCATATCCACTTCCCTAAAAGCGCTCTACTGAACACCTTGTCTCTATAGGAATAACTAAATACGATAGGATCTCACATAGGCCCAAGATACCATTTCCTTGAATTCTAAGGAGAAAAGTAACTATCTCTGGTCGCTAAACCATGACTATTACACAGAACATGGTTTGTCTTTGTCTGACATATGGAGCCATAGGCTTCTTTGCTTTCAAGTTATGAGAGTAAGAGGATACTCTTAGAGCTCACTAGGTCTAAGATGGTCTAACTGATGTCTAACAGGCTGCATAGCAAACTTGTAATTATCAAAGAAATGCCAAAGAAAGAAGAGAACAATTCAAAGGACATTTTTAGAATCAAGGTATAGTACTGCTTCACTTCAACAAGTTGGGAGGAAGTTACAATGGGTGCATCACCTCACCCACCCCTCCCACAATGAAAATTATCCCACGACTTCAATCTGAACTTATTATTTGGAGTTCACATCGCTCTGAAAAAGTGAAATCAACTAGAAAACCAAATCCCAGTGACCATAACAGCTAACTGAAGTAATGGTGAGAAAAACAAGCTCTTTCCTTTCAAAGAGACAGTTGTATAAACTTCATCATCTCTAAGCAACTATTAGACCTAAGCTTCTAGCAGCTATAGATATGCTAACCACTGAAGCAACCAAGAAAAAAGGAACAAAGAAAGCAGGTAGCCGCATATCCTCCAATGTAATTCCCTTCGATGGTGATCCCTAAAACCGCCCATTCATCAGAGCACACAAATTACCCATCAAAGTATGTACCTTTTACTGCAGAACTCTGATGTATTAAGATCACAATAGTCAATATCAATTCCTCAGACACACAAACTGTGCATAAGAGGAACAGAAAATAGAACAAAAGGAAAACCAGTATACAAGTGGATAAGAAAAACAACAATCAAGAATTAGTAGAACCAGTTACGACGATACCAAGGCTCTGGATGAACTCATTACAGCAACATAAGGGACTCTTATATTATTGTCAATCATCTACGTACATGAACTGATTACATAACCTAATTAAAGACCTTGAAACTCTACACACCTAGAAGTTCCTTGAGGCAGGACTACTGCAGTTCTATCAGCTTGATTTTGCTGGCCATTGGGATGAATTTGTGCTTGAGTTGGGCCCCCCTGTAGTTGAGGTGGTTGAACTTGTTGATGCGGCTGGTGCTGTTGTATAATGGGTGTCTCAGTTGCTGTAGATTTAACAGCAAGACTCATTCCATTCTGTGCTTGTGAAGCCTGAGATTTGTCTGTCTGGGTTGAATAATTAGCATTTCGATTTTGATTAAACCTGTTTGAGTAACCATAGTTGTAGGATGCCAGATGCTGAATTTTCTGAAGGATTTCTTCCACTGGAGGTGGAGGCCCAGGCATCTTTGCATGTCTATATCGACAATCAGGACCATTTGGACAAAACCCCAATTTGTACCTGTATTATGAAAACCATCACAAAAAGGTCATAACTTGACCAGCAACAAATGTCATTAATCTATCCATATATTATTTGTCTGAGGACCCACTCAGCATTTTTTGCTTATCAAAAGTACAAATTTCTCAGTTTAAAAAGCAGTGAAATTAACAGTCATTACCATAAACATCTAAAGCACTTATAGCCTAATCAGCGGTCACTTGGCAGCAAAATGAGTCAATGAACATAGAAAGCAAATAAATAGAGCTATTAATTGCTTCATATCAGAATAAGTTGTGGCCCAGAATACAGCATGCTTAAGCCATGAGTATAGCTGTTTTAAGTCTAAACCAGATTTTAATGATCAGGTATCTTTACACCAATAAAGAAGTGATTGCTTTCCACTTAATCTTTTGTATAGTACATTCTTTCCCTTGAGAAAATAGTCAAATGCCCCCTCAACCTGTTATTGAATTTCCAGCTACACACTTATGCTTTACGGGAGTCATATTACCCCCTTAGACTATTTTAAAACGGAATAATTACACCCTTAGATGCTGACATGGCACAGAGAGTGTCCTCACTCTCTTGGAGGCATGTGGAAGTCAAAAGAATTAATAAAAAATATTTTAATAACATTTTAATTTGACTTTTTGTTAATTATTTTTTTTTACTTTTCTCTTTAAGTTTTTTGTTTCTTTTTCTTTTTTTTCCCCTCTCTTTCTCGTTACTCGACATTCACCCCACCACCATTTCCTCCACCTTGAACCACCATCACTACACTAACCACATCTTTTTTTATCTATCTTCTAATATTTTCTTTACAATTTGCTTCACAGAGTAAAGACCAAAATAAAAAAAACAGAAGAAGAAAGATTGGACTCAAAACAAAAAAAAAAGAATAGATTTATTAAACACCTTCCATCATAAAAATTCATTCTATTACTGGATTTTTTTATTATTATTAATGGAGAAATCCATTCAATTAAAACAATTATGACTGTAAAATAAATTTTTTCGATCATGGATTTCATACAGTAAACTAAACATGAGTTTTGGGTATATGATCTGGGTCATCATCCATCTTTATTCATTTTTATTAATCTCAAATTAGTTCAAAATATCAACACCATTAATCTACCTTCTCATCGATTTTGGGTCAGTAGCATACATCAATTATCAGATCTTATCTTCAATCTCTATTGTTGTTTGGTGAAGACCCAAGAATTTAACCATCAACAACTCGTAATAAAATATTACAAATTTGGTGTCATGGAGACAAATAAATAACATAATAAAAAAATTCAAAAGAGATGAGTAATCAAGCTCGTCAAGGTGTCGTATGTTGTTTACTGCGTTTCACTCCTCACATTACTTTCTTGATGTTATTGTATCTTTTGTTGATTATACACTATCTTTTGGATTGGTTGTTATGTTTTATATATATCTCTCCTGTCACTTAGATTTGATGTTCTTGAGCTGAGGGTCTCCCGGAAACAGCCTCTCTACCTCCACGAGGTAGTGGTAAGGTCTGCGTACACTCTACCCTCCCCAGACCCCACCTAGTGGGATTTCACTGGGTATGTTGTTGTTGTTGTTGTAGTTGAAAGAACTAATTAGTTACCATCTGTTTATGGCTCTGAGAATGAAGCTCGGAATCTGACACACTTCGATGGAGGGTTAGGGAGTGCACATTGACGCACAAATGTTATTATTATATGCTACCTTCTCTAGATTTGAATGATAACCAGTGTCTACTGAAGGACGTTTTGAATGTCAGAGCTCCTTTAAAAGTGATTTGATTTGTTGACAGTAGGTTGTGACAAAATACACCCTCAATATTATCACTAGAGCTGTTTAGCGTAAAAAACTCACACTAGTTACCCTGTGCTCCTTCGTGAATAAAATGCTAGCCTTATAAAAAATGTCTTTTAGCATCGTGTCTTCACTCCTTTCGTTTCCATACTTGATTTTGATATGTTTTACTTGAGTCGAGGGTCAATTGGAAATAGCCTCTCTACCTTCACAAGGTAGGGGTAAGGCTACGTACATCACCCTTCCTAGACCCCACCTGTGGGATTACAGTGGTTATGCTGTTCTTGTATTGTACTTATAAAAGATGTTGATATATGCATGTCTCTGCATCTATGTATATAAAGAACTATCATCGTGAGAGGACCATGATAAATGAGAAAAACAATGATCATATACAACCTAAAGAGCAAAGTAATGTACAAACATGCAGCAAAACAATGGGTTAGATTCCCAACCCTACAACACTAATGGGTCGTTTGGTAGGATGCATAATAATAATGTATGCATTAGCTTTGTGTATTACTTAACCTTGTTTGGTACTCTCTCCGTTTCAAAAAAAATGGTCTAGTTTGACTTGGTATGGAGTTTAAGAAATAAAGACATTTCAATCTTGTGGTCCTAAATTAAAGTTATGTCAAATGTACCAAAATGTCCTTTGATCTTGTGGCCTTTAACATGCCACAAGAAAAGCTGAAATTAAAGTATTACCAAAAAAAGGAAGGGGTCACTCTTTTTTAAACAAACTAAAAAGGAAAACAAGTCATTCTTTTTAAAAAGGAGGGAGTACAATTAATTTGGCTTTATCCTATGTATAACTAATACATGGCAAACCATGGTATTAACAATGCAATGGTTTTTTTTTCTTGGTTTCCCACCCGGCGTTTGGTACCCACATTGAAGCCCGACTCAATCCAGATTCACGCAGGGAACTCCCACGTTGAGGGTAAAACACTCCCTAACAAAGGCAACTCCGTACCCAAGCAGACTCGAACCCGAGACCTCTTGGTTAAGGATGAAGAAGTACGTACCAGTCCACCACAACCCTTGTTGGCAACTGTTGAAACGAAAGTATGGAGTAATTTCAATGTGTATTATCCAAAGAAGACAATGATTTAAATACAGATAAAAAAAAGACTAACTAAGGTAACTAAATATCTAAATCCCTAAGAATCAACTAGAATATTATATACAAGGAAACATATAACTTTATGATTCTCTAACACTCCCCCTCAAGCTGGAGCATAGATATTGATCATGCCCAGCTTGTTACAAAGGTAATCAACTCGAGTTCCATTCAACGCTTTTGTCAACAAATCAACTAGTTTCTCTCTTGTCTTCATGTAGCCAGTGGAAATAAGATTTTCCTGAATCTTCTCACGAATAAAATGACAATCAACTTCAATATGTTTAGTTCTTTCATGATACACCGGATTTGAGGCAATATGAAGAGCAGCTTGATTATCACACCAAAGTTTTGCTGGTGTATGATGCTTTAACCCAATTTCAGTTAAGAGATAATGTATGCACATAATTTCACATGTGGATTGCGACATAGCTCTGTACTCGGATTCTGCACTGGATCGAGATACAACACCTTGCTTCTTACTCCTCCATGATACTAGATTCCCTCCAACAAAGACACAATAGCCTGTTGTAGATCTTCTATCAATTTTGGATCCAGCCCAGTCAGCATCTACAAAACACTCCACACGTGTATGACCATGATTGTTATACAATATGCCAAGTCCAGGAGCTCCTTTTAAGTAACATAGAATATGCTCCACAGCTTCCTAATGTTTAACTGTAGGTGCGGACATGAACTGACTAACAACACTTACCGCAAAAGCAATATCTAGACGAGTCACAGTCAAGTAGTTTAACTTCCCAACCAATCTTCTATATCTTTCTAGATCATCAAAAGGATCACCATCATCTTTCATAAGATGTACATTGGGTACCATTGGAGTGTTGCAGGGTTTAGCTGCCAACTTTCCAGTGTTTGCAAGCAGGTCAAGAATATACTTTCTCTAATATTTCAAAGTGAAGCACTCAAAATGAAGTGGTTGTGGAGGTACTCAGTTGAAGATCAGTTAATGTGGAAAAGAGTGGTAGGTGCCAAATATGAGGCTGAAGATAGTTGGATGACCAAGAATATGACTTCACCTTATGGGGTCAGCTTATGGAGATCCATAAGGGGTCGTTTGGTAGAGTGTATTAGAAAAAATAATGCATGCATTAGCCTTGTGTATTACTAATACCTTGTTTGGTACATTTTTCCATGCTTGCATTAGTTATACACTCTATTGTGTATTAAGGTATGTATTGCTAATACCATGAATATCTAGGTATTAGCAATGCAATGGTTTTAATGCATGCATTAGCATGATTGAAGACTTAATTGTCCCTCAAAACCTTTTTTTACATTGTTTCTACCATAATAGTGGAGGGTATCTTTGTAAATTTATTTTTTATGCAATGCATGCTAGTTTTTTAATGCATCAAACCAAATAATGCATAAAAATAATCTATGTATAATTAATGCAAGCATAACTAATACATGCGCTAATGCAAGCATTAGTAATAGACTCTATTTAGCATTATTCTTATACACTCTACCAAACGACCCCTAAGAGAATTATGTAAGGAAGTCAAACTCAACCCCAAGGTGAAAGTGGGTAATGGGAACATCTCAATGACTGGGAAGTGATGAGGGTGGCAGAATTTCTCAACATTGTTGGAAATTTCAATGGACTCCAGGCTGAAGAGGATGCATTATGGTGGAAAGGAAGCAACAAAGGTATATTCAAAGTAGGTGCAGCTTACAGGTTGATGGAGCAACCAAGGCAACAGATTCCTACCTGGTGGTGAAGCTAAATTTGGAAAGGCAGAATTCCTTATAAAGTCTCATGTTTTATATGGCTGCTAGCTAAGGAAGCCACTTTGACATAGGATAATGTTATGAAAAGGGGGATAACCTTATGTTCTAGGTGTTTTCTTTGTGGAGAAACATCAGAAACTGTTAACCATCTTTTTCTACACTGCAAATTTACTCAACAATTATGGAGGGTATTCTTGAGTTTCAAAGGCATTTCTTGGACTATGCCTAAGAGAATTATTGAAGCCCTAAAAAGTTTGGAGGAGGCAAGACTGCTGGCTAAAGACACAACTAGATGGAGAATTATCCCTGCTTCAATCTGGTGGGTAACCTGGAAAGAGAGAAATTCTAGGTGTTTTGAGAGCATAGAGAATAGTATGCAGAAAGTTAAATTCAACTGCATTTTGTAGTTACGTTTTTGGGTGCAATCAATTATATACTCAAATGAAACTGTCTCTATAATTGATATATTAGACTCAATTTAAATTTAGAACACCTGTATATAAGGTTTAGTACTACCCATGTAGTTTTGTGTTATAATACAAAGTTACCAAATTCAAAAAAAATAAATTAAGGAACAGTTTAATAAGCAAACGAGCAAAAAGTCTTACATGTTGCATTCCTTGATATCCTCAATCGTGTGCTTATAAACACAGTCCTGTTCACGGCACTCACCATAGAGTCGAAAGAAGCGACAAATGGGCATTCGTGATTTATCATACTGGTGAAGGAAGCCGCAGGCATCACCCTTCATACACAGTGACCGCAGCCAGTGGCGGCAAACAGTCTGCCTGAAACTCCGACGATTTCCAACAAATCCTACATCGCTTTGGCCGCCAACAGCTGCCGAGACAGTAGGCGGGTTAATATTAGCACTCGGAGCGGCTGCTGCAGTGTGATCGAAAGACTGTATTACTGGAACAGATGCAGTTGGGTGTGTTGGCCCAGTGTCTAAGCCACCCTCAAAATCAAAATTCAAACCCCCTTCTCCTTCGTCCATTACTACGAAACTGTCAAATGGGTAGTTTTGTCGGTGTTTGACAACAGATTTGCTTGAAATTGGTGGCTATGGCACTTTCCGCACAACAGCGTTTTCAATTTTACGCGCTTTCTTCTTATGGCTGCAGGGTTAGGAGAATAGAGAGGAAGAGGAGAAACTAAAAAGAGAATATTTAGCTTCCCTCTTTGGTGGGAAAATGGAGATCTCTTAAATGCTACTGTACATGTTATTTGTAGTAAAGTAATATTTTAGGGGTCATTTGGCAGATTGAATAAGAGCAACAATGGGTTTGGAAATAAGTTATTGGGGTATTAAATTTTAGATAAGTAACAACTAGTTTCACGGCACGTGTGTATCGTATATATAATGTACAATGTTGTAAAATAGAATTAATATTACTAAATTAAATATTTTTAGTAAATAATTATAATTTAAAAAACATAGGACAAATACTTTAAAATGATTAATACAGATTGTTATAAAGTTACTTGTATTTTGAGATCAAAATGACTAGATATTATTGAAACATTTCAAAATACATTCAAAGTTTAAATATAGGGAGAAAGTGACATTTCTTTAGTAGTATTATTATTTACTTAACTCAATTTTGTAAACAAATCTAACCAACAAATTTTTTTTAAAAAATATCAATACTAAAGATGTCACCAATAGTCTTTCCTCTTGAGGTTATGAACATAAATGATGGACACCATTTAAATATAATTTTTCTCTTAAATATTCATACTTCAAATTTAGTATGTGCATGGCACTAATAAGGATTACCATAAATATCTCAATAATTTTATCTTTATACGTTATCTATCTTTTACCAATTAATATTTGAGTAAGACTATCATAGAGAGGTAATTCTACAAAAAAAAAAAAAAAAAATTTATTGTTATAACGAATGATGGTTAAATTGAGGTTTGAGTGTATGTCAAATATTTAGCTTGACCAATTCTTTATTATATTTAAGTAGCATTTAATTTTTAATATATGAACAACATCACCTTGGTGAAAAATATTTCATTTCTTTAAATTTCTACCTTATCTTTGTAGAATTGTAGTCTTCTCCTTTTTCCTGCAACATACATACCATATAGTTGTTGTCTAATGAAAGTACTAGTATCTTATAGAAGTTGTATCGTGATATAAAATATTAAACTTTTTCAATAATAAAAATTAATAGATGAATAAAATTTAAAGTATTGTTTATAGAATCTTTAATTTGAATTAAGAATTTATATATAGCTAACAAGGAGTGTATCTTGTGAAATAATTTTTTCTCAAATTAAAATGAACACAAAATAATAGGAAAAAAAATATATGGAACGATACATAGACAATGAAAAAGGAAGATGAAAATATATGTTCATGTTATATTCACAATAGAGTTCCATTTGATTAAAATCTCTTGTCACCAACACTTTACTTTATTCGTTCATTTCTACTTACATATCGATTAAAAACAATTATTATCATGTCTATATTATCATATTATAAGTAATAGTGAAAACCTATTTTTGAAATAGTGGATTTAACATCAAAACTAATAATTCAATGAACTACGTAGATGCTCGTTGTATTAGCCAAATCAAAAAGAAACTTCATTTGAGGGTAAAAAAATAAAAAATAAAAAACCAAAGAAGAAATATCTTACCCAAATCATGTGATTATTCATATTTGTTTATTATTATTGTCTTTCCCACAAAATTTCATCACTGTTAACTCATGGAAATCGTAAGAAAAAATATGGAGTGTGAATTTATGAATGATTTGCTACAATTTGTTCACCAACTCTTTCTTATGTGGTACCTCGAATTTCATTGAAATTTGAACTTAATCAACTGTTACAAATAACCTTGAGATTTTTTAAGAAGAAGAATAGTAGAAAACTTTAAAAAATCGTAGTTTAAAAGTGAGAGGAAACCCTTTATTTATAGCTAACAAATAGTAGTATTAATAGGTGTTGATTGTTCCTTATCAGAAAAGTTACAACCATTCGTAAAAGTCACAACCTTTTGCAAAAGTCACAACTCATCGGAAAAGGCACAACCTTCGAAAAAGTCACAACCCTTTGAAAAAATCACAACCTTTCGGAAAAGTCACAACTCATCGAAAATGTCAAACATAAAATTTTCTCAAATTAAAATGAACACAAAATAATAGGAAAAAATATATGGAACTCTACATAGCCAATGAAGAAGGAAGACGAAAATATATGTTCATGCTATATTCACTATAGAGTTCAATTTGATTAAAATCTCTTGTCACCAACACTTTACTTTCTTCGTTCATTTTTACTTACATATCTATTAAAAAATAATTATTATCATGTCTATATTATGATATTACAAGTAAAAGTGAAAATCTATTTTTGAAATAATGGATTTAACATCAAAACTAATGATTTAATGGACTACACTGATGCTCGTTGTTTTAGCAAAATAAAAAAGAAACTGCTTCATTTGAGGGTTAAAAATAAAAAAATAAAAAACCAAAGAAGAAATATCTTACCCAAATCATGTGATTTTATTCATATTTGTTTATTATTATTGTCTTTCCCACAATATTTCATCACTATTAACTCATGAAATCGTAAGAAAAAATACGGTGTGAATTTATGAATGATTTGCTACAATTTGTTCACCAACTCTTTTTTATGTGGACCTCAAATTTCGTTAAGTTTTTAACTTAATCAACTGTTGCAAATAACCCTGAGATTTTTTAAGAAGAAGAAGAAGAGTAGAAAACTTTAAAAAATCCTAGTTTAAAAGTGAGAGGAAAACCTCTATTTATAGCTAACAAATAGTAGTATTAATAGGTGCTAATTGTTCCTTATCAGAAAAGTTACAACCTTTCGTAAAAGTCACTGCTCATCGGAAAAATCACAACATTTTGCAAAAGTCACAACTCATCGAAAAAGGCACAACCCTTCGGAAAAGTCACAACTCATCGAAAATGTCACATAAAATTTTCTCAAATTAAAAGGAACAAAAAATAATAGAAAAAAAATATATGGAACGATACATAGCCAATGAAGAAGGAAGACAAAAATATATGTTCATGCTATATTCACTATAGAGTTCCATTTGATTAAAATCTCTTGTCACCAACACTTTACTTTCCTCGTTAATTTTTACTTATATATCTATTAAGAGATAATTATTATCATGTCTATATTATCATATTACAAGTAAAAGTGAAAATCTATTTTTGAAATAGTGGATTTAACATCAAAACTAATGATTCAATGGACTACACTGATGCTCGCTGTTTTAGCAAAATCAGAAAGAAACTGCTTCATTTGAGGGTATAAAAGTAAAAAATAAAAAATCAAAGAATAAATATCTTACCCAAATCATGTGACTTTATTCATATTTGTTTATTATTATTGTCTTTACCACAACATTTCGTCATTGTTAACTCATGAAAATCGTAAGAAAATGTACGAGTGTGAATTTATGCATGATTTGCGACAATTTGTTCACGAACTCTTTCTTATGTGGTACCTTGAATTTTGTTGAATTTTGAACTTAATCAACTGTTACAAATAACCCTGAGATTTTTTAAAAAGAAGATGAAGAGTAGAAAACTTTTAAAAAATCGTAGTTTAAAAGTGAGAGGAAACCCTCTATTTATAGCTAACAAATAGTAGTATTAATAGGTGCTAATTGTTCCTTATCAGAAAAGTTACAACCTTTCGTAAAAGTCACTGCGCATCGAAAAAATCACAACCCTTAGCAAAAGTCACAACTCATCAGAAAAGGCACAACCTTTCGGAAAAGTCACAACCCTTTGAAAAAATCACAACCTTTCAGAAAAGTTACAATTCATCGAAAATGTCAAAACCCATCAAAAAAGTCATAACTCTTTGGAAAAGTCACATCTCTTTCAGAAAATCACAGCCCTTTAATATGAAAGGATATCTACATTTAATATAATACAAATAATTAAATTAATAAGTAAAACAAATTGAGTATTTTTAATTGGGGGTATTATAGTAATTCAACATTCATTTTAGGAGTTCATGCTTTTAAGCTAGTATAGATAGATAGATAGATAGATAGATAGATATAGATAAGTGAAATCCACACCCTTGACACGTGTAATTTTGTTATTTTTTTTATTTTCTTTCCCTTAAGCGATTATTTTATTCTATTTTTCTTTTTTCTTTTTCCTTTTATTTATTTCTCTTCCTCTTCTTGTTCTTCCTCTTCTATCCTTCAATTCCATCTTACCATAGAGCCACAAGTAGAAAGGTATAGAAGCGAAAAAATGAAGTCGACGAGAAATGTGAAGGATGTTTTACCACACAAGTTCGTCAAAGCATAAGCCTCTCATCTCAAGAGCTCCGACAAGTTGAAGGAGCGGACCTACAATATCAAAACTGGAAAAATAGAGCTTGCCCCATATGACACTAACTGGTACTAGGTTAGGGCTCCATCTATGACAAGAAAGATCTATGTGAGAGGAGGTATATATTGGTGTTGGTGGATTCTGAAAAATCTATGGTGATAATTAGAGGAATGACAGCCCTCCACGTCATTTTTGCAAGAGCAGGGGTTCAATAAGAGGAATTACCTAAAAAATAAATTGTCGGTCAAAATCTTTTCTAATGAGGATATTTTGAGAATTTTTTAAGACATTCCCAACATTATTAAGTTGTTTGAATGAATTTTGTTAATTGAAAAAAATTTGTACAATAGCTTCAAAATGGTATTTCAATGGTGTTTTAATGGCTACTAGTAGATTTTGAAAATGGGGGTAAAGTAATTTACTTAATAATTTTTTATTGTGTGGAGAGTAGGAAAGAGATTTCTATTTAGGAATTGTGGTGTGTTAATAGATATTGTAATGATGGTGTTTCCAGATTGTGATGGTGAAATTTGATGGCTGCTATGGATGCTCTACTAAGTTGCTAAGAAGAAGAAGAAAAGAGATGAGATAAAAAAAATAAAAAGAACATTAAAAATAAAGTTTTAATATTTATTTTTGATCTTCACTCTCTTTGAGAGAGTGGAATACACTCACTTTGCCACATAAGCATTTAGGGAGGTAATAATTTCAATTTTAAATAGTTCAGGAGCATAATAGGACTCCCGTGAAGTAAAAGTGTGTAGTTAGAAATCCGATAATAGGTTGGGGGATTAGTTGCCCATTCTCTCTCTCTCTCTCTCTC